GAGTTTTATATTATTTTTGTTAATTTTATAATGTTAAACTGTAATAATAACAAATAATCGTTGAGAAGTGATTATGCAGAACTGCTTATCAAAGTTTGCATTGTTGTCAGGCCCCGCCCCGCCCCCACGTCAATGGTGTCCTGCTTTACCAATGTTAAAATCTGGTCACCTTATAGTTGTAGCAGTTTCTCTCTTATTGCAATAAACAGGCAAACACCATCTTTCCTTATCTCATCTTAATGATATTCTTTTACTATTCACATCTTTAAGAGCTTAAAGCAACACATATTCATTATAGAAAAATTGGAATATGCAGAAATATAAAGAAATAAAAACCATCTATATTTACAAGGTTGACCCCTTAGGATAGGTTAAGACAATAACACCCAGAAAGCACCAATACCAACCAGCACCTCATCGAGATGTTTTGTTTCTTCAAGTAAAAGCTAGGAGGTTTGCAGACTGAGACTGGTGTGGTAGCTCTGCTCTCCAAGGTCTTTAGAAGTTCAGTTTCCTCCAAATGCATAGCCCAGCCATCATCTGGCCCCGTTCTTCATGGTCCAGGTCAGCATCTACTATCATGGAAGGAAGATGGGATGAAGAGGAGGCACAGGGTGATTGTCTCTTTAAGAAGGATTCCCAGAGCCTGCCCTGTGGCATATCCACAGCACACCCTTTGTTAGAATATAGTCACAAGGCCACATTTGGCTGCAGTGAGCCTGGGAAATGCAGTGTTCCTTCTCAGCAGTCTCGTGCCCAGCTACAATTTCTATTATTACGGAAGAAAGGGGAAACAGATTCTTAGGATCAACTCTCAGAATTTGCCATAGTCATTTCCTTCATTGAACTGAACATAGACGAATTGCTACATTAGAAATTACACCCATTTTGATGATTTGTGAATGCTGTTGATAAATTTCCCTGCAGAAGTTCTGTATATGTTTACACTCCCAATGACACATGTGAATACTGGGTCCTAAACACCATCACGGTAATCAGTTCCTTTAATATTTACTGAATGGCTTGGCTGCTGGTAAGAGGTGATGGATGAAGTATTCAGTGTTGATTGTTGGGACTCTTTCAGCTGGTCCTGACAGATGGCCTGCCATTAGTGCTGAATTTATTCAAATATTGAGATGATTTAGTAAATTAAGTATATATGGCAATCTGGAGTTGGGGAATTAAAAATGAAGTTCTTCTGAAGAGAGATAGGAGGATTCTATAGTTTGTAAAAATTTTGAGGCCCCAAGAGAAAAGGTCAAATGTAATATAATATTTGCCTCATGTCAATGGGAGGGGCTTTTACAAATACTTTTTTATCAGTGACTACATTCTGGGCAGTGTTCTATGTGCTATAATATATCTCCTCTCATTGAAGTCCTACCGCAGTCTGGGACAGCATATTTTTATGCATACACATCACATCATGATGTGAAAGCTTAAGAGAGGTCAAGTTAGGGGTAGAGCTAGAATTTAAACCCCACTCTGTCTGATTCAAAGGTTTCCTCTTTCCCCTTCTACCCTTACAAGTGAACTATAGAGCAAATTTGGTGAGGGATTCACTTTTGCTGTATCATTTGAATTAAGCAAAGGTTATAAAAAGACTTAAAATCTTTCCAAATTATAAAAGAATTATAAAGAACAGCAGATGAAGGGCTGCAAAGGGAAGGAAGCACCCCATGAACTCCATCTCTCCCAGAGTCCCTTTTCTGACCTGGGTTGGCTGCCGGCCCCCTTTTCTCATGGCACCTGTGTTCACGCTAAGACAGTTCTTATCTTTATTGTGGTTTTCTATTTACGTTGTTGTCTGATGTCTCTGCCACCAGATTTGTATCTCTGGTAGCAGGTTTTAGGTCTTCCTCATCTTTGTATTCCCAGGATGCAGCAAGAGTCTGGAACCTTGTGAGTGCTTTATAAACACTAGCTGAATAAACTACGCAGGCACTTATTGCACGGTCATATTTATGCGTACTTGCTGAAGTACACGTAAGGTTCAGTTCATTTTACCAATTTATTAAGATGCCAGATTTTAAGAGATGTACAATAACAACTTGACTAGTATAAAATTATGATTCTGATGAGAGTTATAAAAAGAATGTTTATGAGGCGATTGGACCTGGAAATAATACTGAATGCGTACACCATGCCAGGCTGTTTTGAGTGTTTAACGTTTTGTTACTTACTCAATTTCCACAAAAAACGTATGAGATACATAAAATCATTTCCACCCCCAAAAGGGAGAAAATAGAAAAACTAGGACATGAACCCAGGTAATACTCTTAAAATTTTTCTGTTTAACAGCTAGGCCATTTTATATTGCCATTGTGTGTGTTTTTTTGTTTTTTTTTTTGGCACGACTCCTGAGTGGCATCTTCTAATGAAAACTCATAGATCCTTTTCCTGTTGCTTTGTTGACCGGAACTTCCTTTCCGTGAAAGGAACCTGCTCTCTTAGAGGAACCCTAAGGATCTCGGGAAATTGCTGCCTTTATCCCTGAGCAGCCTCCACACCGATGAGAAATTTGCTGTCACCATTTTTCTTTACTCATCGTAATAACCAAGGACTCGCACTGCAGATTTTTCCCCTAAATAAAGTTCAGTTGCACCTCGCAGGTGGCCGCAGCGATCCAGGGGGTTTCCCGCGCTCAGGCGCCCGCGTCTCTGCAGACCCGGCCCCGCGGCTTTCTCGGCGGAAAACTACACTTCCCAGCGGTCTCTTCGTCCTTCCCGCCCCCGGGAGGCGTCGAGCAAAACCTGAAGACGCTTTGCGCGGCAGCGTGGGTGGGAGCAGCACGGGGCGGCCGGGCCAGGCCCTCCCGCACCCGCGCACCCCGAAATGGCTCGGAGGCAGGACGAGCAGAGAGGGGGCGCGCCCCTGATGGCGGAAGGCAAGCCCGACGCGGAGGTTAAGCTCATTCTGTACCACTGGACGCATTCCTTCAGCTCTCAAAAGGTAAAGGCCTCGCCGGCAGAGATCGGCGCGGATCGGGTTTCAGCACCCGGACAGCTCCCTCCGGGTCCCGCCCCGGGACGCCCGCCCACCCAGAACCCAGCCCGACCCAGGCGGGCGCGCGCTCGGGCCGGGAGTCAGGGTCAGGTGGAAGGCTGTGACTCAGCCACTGCCGCTCAAGAAAAGCGACAGTGCCCCAATTCTCTGGGCCTTGGGGAATGAGGCAGAGGGATTGTAGGGGCCCTTCCTGCCCCCGCACAATCT